CAGAAAATCTCTCATATGGAATAATTCAAAATAATGTACATAGATATTCTGCCCCCAAGTAGGTGAAGCATAACTCTCTACTCTTTAAGTGTGGGCTCTGCAGAATAACTTCCTTCCAAAGAGTACTATACAGATGGGGAAAAAGAGTAACTTTACAGAGGGGACGCCTGACTAGTACCTCAGCCAAGTGATCAAGGTCAACATCCACAAGTCATATGAATAGCATAGACCCCTGATGTGATATAATGAGAATAATACTCATCAGAGAATGGTCTTCCTCCCAAAAAACATGCTACGTAAGTCTTATTATGAGAAAAACAACAGACAAATTCCCAGAGGTACATGCTACAACATTCATGACCAGTACTCCTCAAAACTGTCAAGGACACCCCAAAACAAAGAAAGCTGAGAAACTGCCACAGCTAAGTAGACATGACTAAATGTATACCGTATCCTGGATAGACTCCTGAAACAGAAAAAGGCATTAAGAGAAAAATAAAGAAATGTGAATAAAATATGGAAGTTAGTTAATGATAACATATCAATATTTGTTCATCAATTGTGACAAATGTACCACATTCAATTAAGATGTTAATAATAGAGGAAATTGGGTAGTGGGTATGTAGAAACTCTCTTCTACTGCCTTCATCCTTTTTCTGTAAATCTAAAACTATTTTAAAACAAAAAGACTACTTGCAATTATAATTGAATTTAATAGGACACACTTTTAAATAATTTATAGAATGTCATCAACCCTTAGTAAGCTACATGAAATTTCAGGCCCCAGTGTTAAAAAAAGTTTTCTTTCTCTCGAACAGCCGTCAGGTTCTTATCTGTTCACTCTCTTCATCCTAATTATGTTCTAATCCTTGCTTTGGCCACTAGGAAGCCTGGAGACAAACCTATTAGGAATTATGAATAACACAATAGTTTCTATGAAGCTCTTGGCATCATCTTAGTTATTCTTTTAGTATTTTCACTCCACTGTGATTTTGAAAAAATTTTTATCACTGTTTTTATCTTATTACTAGGCACTTCAAATTTCCTTAGAGCCAAAACTTACATTTTCATCTGATTATACAAAATTTTATTATTCAAATTTCTGGCTTCCCATTTCTCATGTTACCAAAATTCTGGACAGTTTCCTGCTCAACAGCTAGAAGATGAATAATTACTTCAGTTCTTGAACTGCAAAATGGTAATACTACCACCTGCTTTAACTGATGGTTTCCAGGGCAAATGTGTTCACATTTCATAATACACCTATTACAGATAAAGATAATGCACACAAAAATTATAATTACCATTATTAACAAAAATAGCAATAATTATTTTAATATTAAAAAATGGAGCTAAATTACAAATTAATCATAAGCCAGGTGGTGATTTTCTCAGTGATTCAGATAAACAAGAGTGGCTGCCATATTTTGAAGGATGAGAATAATAACTAAAGGGAGGTGAGGGGAGAAAAACAGATAAGAAGAGGAGGGGACGTCTTACCCACTGACACTGCCAAAAACAAGTCTGAAAGCTTCAAGACAAGGTGAAATCCAATTGCTTTTCAGCCTTAACTCCACTAGAATAATAAAAACACCTTCTTCTAGCCTTTTTGGCACTCATTTCCTCAAAGCTTCCCAAAACAATCATAATAAGAGCCAAATAAACACCAAACCTGAATCTCTCCTTGGTCTAGAGGATGCCAAGTTCATGTTCTACTGCCCAGAGTTTCCTTGTTTCTGTTTTTTTGTTTTTTACCATTGGCCCATTTAATTTCAGACCCTCTTTCATCTTCCATATTCTTAAAGAAAGGACGATGGAGATTTTCATTAAAAGAACCATGCATGCATTCTTTAAATATGCATGCATCTTTAAATTCTTTATGCGCTACACCTTTTTTTCACAGTATCCCTAAAACCCTCAATAACCCCAAATAAATGTCCAGAAGAACTGAGGCTCAGGGAAGGGGCAGGGACTGGGGGAGCGAGTAATTTGCCCCAGATTCCTGCCCACAAGACACAGCAAAGACACTAAACCCAGGTCAGTCTGACTACAAGGGTTTCCCTCTTTCCACTATGCCAGAAACTTAATGCAAAGATTCCTGCCAAGATTGACAGAAAAGGGAACAAAATAAAATAGTTAATTCCTTCCAAAAATTTCTCAGCACTGCATTGGAAGTTTTCTTGCTACCTCACTCAGTCTGTACACTAAATCCATGCAGTGGGTGCTGCCATTATCCAATTATACAACCAAAAAGTTCAGGGGTTAGTGGTTTCACCCTCATGATGCAGGTTGAAACTGAGAAGGGAGAAAGAATTGGAGGCTAAGAAAACAACAGGGGAGAGAGACAGATGTAAGAGACAGGTGTGCCAGGGAGAGGGCAACCACCTTTGAAAGAAGAACTCGGGGACTGGCATCCCAGGTCTCTAGAAAATGAGGAGCCAAGAGGCTTTTGATGGTACTCACAAGTACACAAGTACAGGGCAAGGGGCACAAAGAGGAGGATTGCAAATTTGTACTAATAAAAATAGAATGAGTCATGAGTGTCAAAGCCAATTTTAAAAAATGGCAGGGATGACTGGACAGCCAATAAATCATTTCTGTGCATTAAACTTTATGCTTCCTCGGGGTTTGAGATTGTCGTGAGTAGCACTGGAAGCTCCCCAGCATGCTCTGATAGGTCAACAGAAGCTCTCCATTTTTAAACTCACCAAATTCATTAAACCTTCGAAAATCCTTCTGATCGCTGAAAGGGACTGGAAGTCCCATATTACTTTAGTGTATATTCTGTTAGGCAACATTGTCCAAAACTACCACCACCCGGAGCACTTGTTAAACATAAAATTCCCAGGTAGCCCATAGAGATTCTGATTCCGTAGTCTCAAAACTGGACTCTCCGAACAAGCTTACAAAATAGGCATCATGATCCCCATTTTACAGGTAAAGAGAGATTCAAAGAAGGAAAAGCAGTTCCCCAAATCACACAACTCTTGTGTGTCAGAACCGAGGACAGGAAGTCACACTGTGACTGCAGAGTGGGTCTGCATGGCACCGCATTTCAATCTACCTGACTTCACATGGCATGACACACCAGGAAATGGGGGCATAGACTATCCAGTACTATCAGAAAGAAACAGAGAGCCCTGAGAACCCTGAGTTCAAAAACCCACCCCCCAAAAAAGAAAACAGAAGGAAGGCAAGGTCTTCCTCCATCTGTAGTAAATTGAGTCCTCAAGGTGTGCAGACTGATGAGGTATTGCCAATACTCACACTATCACAGATGCTTGACTAAATAGGTCCATCTACCTAAAATAATTAAAACATTTGTTTCATTACTGTGCAAAGGTTAAAAAAAAAAACCCTAGAGAAAGGTCCTTCCAGAAATAACTTCAGACAGTTAATTTCACACCAAAAAAGGAATGCCCGAGATGAGATTTTCACCCACACCCTGGCCTCCCCATTGGTGATAACAGTGTAACAGTGACTAGTTGTACCTTCTGGGGTCAAGTTCAGACCACTCCTCCAGAGCTTTCTCCCCCCAGAGAGGGGCGAGTACCTGAAGTTTACCAAAGCCATTTGTACATGTATGTGGCTCCCCACTACCCAGAGACTCCAGACTAATAATCACTTCATTGGTGGGAGGGGAGGATAATCCACATGAAAAATGATGTGATTGTGAAACACGTCTTCTTTTATCTCCTTTCTGAAAGCCCCTGCTGCTGAACTACCACATTCTTATCAACTCTGTACAAGACAAAGTCCAAACCAAACAAAATGAGAGACAGAGCACAGGGACAATGGCGCTCCTTTCCCCAGCTTCCCCTGAGTTAAATAAAAAGGAAAAATGGGAAGATGTAGTCATTTCTAAATGAGCTGACTTTAAGATATAACACCTCCCTCGGCACATATATAGATTGATACAGGTTTATCTGTCCCCTGGGAACTGATCCTCCGCCTCATACATTTGTTCAATACAGACTCTAACCCATTTTCAAGATGAGGGGACCCCTCCCCACCCTGTTGCTTCCCCCTCGTGCATCCTCTGAAATCTGAGATCAGAATGACAACTGATGTGCATAGTTGGATATTTCATGTCATGCCTGCCCATAAACATATATATCTCCACGTGCACAACCGCTCTTAATTATAGCAGCCATAATTTCACACTCAATGAGTATTTTTTTAATTGTCTCAGCCATGTAGCACAAAATTAGGGATAACATTCATAATTTATTTAAAAATATTGTTGACTTCCAACATACATATCTCTACATTCTGCAATGATTCAGGTACATTAATATAAAAGGCAAAATAGGTTCGTAACACACCCACCCAGCTTCCTTAAAAAACATGCATATCTCTTATGGGTTAAGAAGGTGAAGGGATTAAGAAATACAAATTGGCAGTTACAAAAATAGACACAGGGATGTAAAATACAGCATAGGAAATATAGTCAATAATATTAGAATAACTATGCACGATGACAGATGGGTATTAGACTTATTGGGATGATCATTTCATAGGTTATGTAAATGTCTAATCACTATGCTATACACATAAAGCTAATATAATATTGTATGTTATATTAATAACATACAATATTATATTCAACTGTAATTGAAAGATAATATTCTTTTTAAAAAACCATATTTCTTGCCTTAATTTTAGAGGCCAAAAATATATTTTCCTTTTATTCATTATGTAAAAAGTGCCTTTGGAAAAACAGTCACATTTCATGATATACTGTCCATGTCTCTTTCAAATGTGTCCAATTTCAATGAATGGTCTTCACCTTGGACACCACATTCTGGGCCTCACAGGAACCATGGTGGTTGGGCATGTGCAGTGAAGGTGGAAGATGGATTCAAGATGTTTCAAGTATGCAAAATTGCATGCAGATGTACAAACAGTGCGTCCAGTCAGAGCGAGTTAAGAAAGTAATATATATACAGATACCAGAGAATGGATGAGCGCAAATAAAATCGAACTTGTAATTAACATACCGTGCTGTGACACCTGTTGCCTTCCACGATAAGAAGTCTGGGAGATCAAAGAAATGCCCCGCCTTATTCCAGCAAGTCTCTCGCAAGTTCTGCCAAATTAAATATATATTAGAATCAATTATGGTCTGTTTTCTCTACCCCTCTCCTCTTTCAGTAATGTCTCAAAATTTTCAAAACAAAAGCATAACCACCAATGCCCACGAAAACATCTGTTCAGGGGTTGAGAGAGGGGCTGATGTAAAAGTGGTACCTATATAGGAAAGAAATATTGGCAATTATTGATCCTTGCAAAAATGAGCATAATTTCCCTTTTTTCTCCCTTTGCCAACCTGGAGGGGGAGGAAACCCACTCTGAGAAGGTATGCAATCCATCTTCCCAGCGAATGGTCAGAGAATAAGCTTCAAGACATATAAGATTTCAAAGCTGAACAGCTGTATGCTGGGGGGCAGGGGGGAATGCACTGAGAAATTAATGCATGAAACGGAACATGCCCTGCCTGTGTAAAATTCTCCCCACACCAACTGGTTCCAAAGGCAATAGGAAATATGATTCCTGCCCTCAAAGAACTTCTAATCTAAACCAAAGAGAATGGCATGTAATCAAGTTATTACTGTAAGTTTTTAAAACATTTGTTTCTTCTACACTACCAATGTGATCAGAGCTTCTCCTGCCACTGGGCTTTTTCTTTCCTCTGCAGACCCTACCTGGAACATTCATTCCTCACTCTCCACCCTGTTCCCTCCCAGGGTCCAGGTGGCCCTGCCCCCTCTGGTTAACCCTATTCATCCTCCCCTGGGCTGGCCTTCCAGGATACGCTACTCAGGTTAGGTCTGGCTGTCACACAGTGTGGAGAATGTCTTTCTTTCCTGCTGGATAGTAAGCTCTGAGGTCAAGGACCTTGTCAGTTTATGCACCATGAGATCCCATGGCTGACCCTCTCCTACCCCTACACAGGGCTGAACCCTTAGTTGTAAGGTAGAAACTACATGACCCCATTCCCTTCACTGGACCAGAATGGACATGTGACCTGAGCCAACCAGAGCTCTTCTCCTAGGAATTTAGAACCAGGATCCAAATGGAGTCATTTAACTTCTGCCTATGAATGAAACTGGAGGTGAGATAAACTTGGAAACTATGAAGTGGCTGTTTTCTATACCTAGAGAAGCAGAACTTCATAAAGAGAAGAAAGAGTAGAGCAGACTAGAAGAGATAACAAAAAAGGTTTCCTACTACCCAGGCAGCTAACTGTCCATGTCTTGGCTACAATTATCCTCTCCCCAGGAGGCTGTAATGACAAGGAATGTGTCATAAGCAAGAGGGTATCTTTGGGACACCACAGGTAACACTTCAGAAGTTCAGAAGAGACATATTCTTGTGACACATAGCACGAACTCAATGTTGTTGAACAACCAAACTACTCAGTTTCCAATCCCTCACGTGAGGAGGGCTTCGGAGTTTATGAAGGGCTTCCACATGCGCTATGTCCTTAGAGCGATACAAAAGTCCTGAGTGTTACCACATCTAATTTACAGACAGACAGCTGGATTTGATCTACATTTGCCCTCAAATTCTATGAGTTCTTCCTATTTCCTCCTTCCCTATCACAACTATATGAACACAGACATCTATGCATAGCAGAGAAACTGGGTATCACATCAAAAAAGTTCTGATGTAAATAAACAGTTCATTTTTTTATTCCTATTGTTGTTTAAATTCCCAAGCATTGGGATGAGAACTTATATCTAGAAAGGGCTTAACTTTTCTTTGAACACCCACACGTGTTAATGTTAAACAAAGCAAAACTTAAAGTTGACTAAATATGCTCAACACATCTATGAACCAGCACCATCTTTACACAGTAACAGGTCACAATAAAAAAAGGGCAACCTTTGAAACTAGTATGTGAGTCAAACTACTGACACTAATAGTATGCCTTTTGGGTAATCCAAAACATCGCTTTCCATGTGCTTTGTGATTTCAGTGATTGGTTCTCAGGGAGAAAAAGAAAGTGGTGCCTCCTCCTAAGGGCTCCAGAAACCCAAGGTCACTCACCAGAAATGAACCACTAAACCAATGCAGCAACAACCAGTGCTTCAAGCCACAGCTGAACAAGCTTCCTAAACTCAGAAAAACAACTGCTTCCATTAGATCTTGCAGAGGGTCATTAAAGACCTTGCAGAATGAGCGCTTTCAGTGTGTGGCCACACAGATGGCCACTGTGGACCATGGCACCCAAGCCGAACATCTCAGAGAGAACTTCAGACCTCTTGCCAAAAAGACACACACTGAGGTAGGAGGCACAAGGCAGCCAGGAGCATCATTTTGTCTTGAGACCACACCAGCTTCATTGATCAAAGCCAGGGACCCCAGTTCAACCTCTCCACAAGCTGAGAAACCAGAAACAACATCGTATGAGAAGCATGAGGTATGATCCAGAACGCATGTTGTCTAGGAGAAGACAGCAATAGTCTCTGCTTTCTCCATAAAAGCAGGCTAGAGGTTAGCCAGCAAAGGGAAGGGAGAAAGGATGAGAAAGAATGTCTCCAGAAGCTTGACCCCCTTGCTTCAAGAGGCTGACAGACTACCTGTGAGGATCCTATGACATTCTCATGTTGTGCTACCTAATTCATGAGTGCTTTGTCATCAAATGACAGACTGGTCAAGAGCACATTAGCCCCCATGGACAAATTTTTAATCTAGTTTTGTGAGGGAAATCTTTCCACCTCTCCCCTTCCCCAGACAGTTCAGTCCCAGACAATGGCCTCGATCTTCCTGAATTAATCCTATCCTTGTGACCACTGGGCCTACATCAAGACACAGTGACAGCCCTCTTACATTCCCCCACAGCTTGTAACAGTGCTCCCACGTGCCTCCCCTCTTCCGATTCTCAGAGCGGTTCAGAGGTGTGTACGCAACATACAATAGTCAGATACGGAGGATGCAGAAACTGTGGTTTGGGTGACAAGAACTTAGCCCAGTGCCATATGGGACTGCCAGCTCCTACGTGAGTGTTCCTTCCTCCCCCTATACCACAGACACCACCACCTTGAAGCCCCCAGATCTGTCAGAGTGGAGGGTTTTGGCCGTGGAAAGGGTCACGAAGGAAGCTGTTGCCATCCTTTACAGACAAAAAACAAAACAAAGAAGAAAAAGAATTTTTTGGGAAAAAAAAAAGAATAAGACAAGAAAAACCCTTCCCAAACACATTTTTTACATGTATACATTTTTTAATTTCAGAGATTTCACTTTCAATCCTGGGAAACTCACCCAACTTCTCTGTACCTAATAATGGTCTCCCTGCACAAAGGGTGGACGTGATGGAGAGAGCCCGGAGCGAGTCCCCACACGTGCCACTTTAGTGGTACCTCATTCCACACAGCTACAGCCAGTTTAAACCAGGAGATCTCTGTGCCGAATGGGTTAAGTCTATACCCCAGTTACCAAGCAACTAACAAAAATGAGTCTTTTGAAGAAAAAAAGACATCAGCCATGATTTGGGGTGTGTGACTTGGCAATAAGACTTCTGCATTCCAATAAAAATCCTTTGAGCAAGCAATCCCCCCAGGCTTGAAAGCAACCAAAGGAACTCTTTACTTTTTTTTTAAATCATGTATTACTTCATAAAACTATGGCATTTCTTGGGAGGAGGCACTGCTCAAAGCGCACACAGCTGCAGGTCTCAGCAGAGGGTGGAGGCGGAACAGTAGATCCAAGACACCAGGCCAGGCAGCCAGCCACCCCAGCCTCAGGGCAGGGAGACGTGGCTTTCTCCCCTCCCCTCTCACTGTGGTGTCCAAGGAAGCAGTAAGGTCTCCCTTGGCTTCTAGACACTGAGGGAACTTGTGTGAAAAAGCAGATACTGTATTGCATGTCGGGAGACACCAGGGTCAAGGAGCAGTAAAAGACAAAGCAGGGATGACTAGTTCCAAAAGGGTCATGCACGTATTTTGTTATTCATTGCAAAGAGATTCTATCTGGAATATCTGCTGTGGGCAGTGAAGAAAAGGGAGGAAACAGAGCTCCCTAATTCCCCACCCAGTAAACGATCCTGCCTGAACATTCCGAACACTCACGGTGTTGTTTTCCAGCACAACAACCCACAAAAAAGCCAGACTTTATCCTCACTCCGAATTCAAGACTCCAAATCAGGGCACAAGCTGATGGTCCAGAAAGGAAAGATGTGTCAGGAAGAAACTTAATCCTCAAATGTCACTCTTAAAAGAAAAATGACGCTGAAAAGACTAAGTGGGTCATATTCCCCAACCAGAACCTTCCCAGAATGAATGAAACAATTGTGTGTTTCAAACTCCCATCCACAGAGAAAAAGATCTAACACTGGACATACTGCAAGTCAGACAGACATCTAGAGACATACACTGAGAAGTCTGTACTACGAGAAGCATCTTTCTAAAAACTTAAAATTGATCCTATGTTTCTTTGTAGAAAATGGTTGAGCAGTTCCCCATGGCCCCAACTCATATTTTATCTCCTTGGCATGGTTCTCAGGACACTTAACAACCTGGCTCCGACTTGGCCATTATTTTCATGAATTCTTCTGGACTCATCGCCCATGACCCCTCCTACATCCCTCCGTCCGGCTCTCACCTCATTCCTCTCGCTTCCCCAGATGCATTATGCATTTTTATGTTCCCATGCCTCTACCGAGGCTAATGCATCTACTCGGATTGATTTTCCCATCTTCTCCCACCATCAGACTTTTCTACCACTGATTCAAATTCCGCTCAAATATCACCTTTTCAGTGAATCCCTCCATCCTTTGCTATATCCTAATTATATATTCATGTGTCTAAATCCACCTCAGAATGACAAACTCCTGGAGGGTAAAAGCCAGCTGACTCATGGGGAAAAAAAAAACACAAAAAGTTTCAAGAAGTATAAAGAAATTTAAAATCTTTAAAGCTCAAACAGAGCTGGAAAAAGATGTGCGTAAGGAAGAAGGCAATTAATTTGAGATGATGTATGACAATAATGTAATGAGCCCAATACCGAGGTTTGGTGCGTCAGCCTCCTAACTTTGTCACAGTGTTTTGAGTGTGGTCATATCGCTGCCTCCAATGACTAATCTCA